GGAATGAAATGATGCTCTGGTAGCAAGGGGAGAATACTGTTAACACATTGCAACCCTGGCAGAGAGGATGTTTGCATTGTCTGGCTGCATGATTTCCTCCAGAGCAAAGGAAAAGCAAACCGCTGCTCCAAGCAATCGTGGAAAGTCACTGCTCCCCTTCCCCAAAGTATTCCTCATCCCTTTCACCCATGTAATGGACACGCATGTTGCAAGGGGCTAGAAAAAAATGATTGGAAAAGTTAGTTGGATGAATTAAAATCCCTTTTTGGTGGAAGGATGCTGGGTGGTCTCCCAGGCTGACACCCAAGCACAGCGGGATGCTGCCAGGCAGAGGGGAGCAGGGGAGGGGAGGGTAGCAGCACAAGGGTCTCCGGCTGCTGACCTTGTTTGCTTTGGGGGGGGGGCAAAAGGCTGTTTATGTCTCGTGACGGGAGTCTGAAGGCATTCCTCCGGCGCTGAAACTGTCCTTAAGCCTTTTGCAAGGTGAATCTATTTTAGGCGGGAGAATATATTTGCTTTAGTGCGAAACTATTTATAGTCCCCATAAAACGTTTCTCTTACTCACACAGTTCGGGATTTTCACTGACAAAGTGTCAACAGCTCCGTCTATGCCAGAGTCCTGGTGTTTGTACATAGAGAAGGAGCAGCAAGGGGAGAAAGCTACTGGGAGGCTTTAATTACGTTATCACGGTAGTGAACGACCAACTTTAACAAAGTGGCTCCTGTTTTGCGGGAAGTCCTTGCAAACCTGGCTTGCAATGCCACTCCGCCAGCCTGACACAAGCTTAGAAATTAATTTAATTCAGAGCAACTTATCTCTGGCTCTGCTAGGGTCCCTGTGAGGAACTTGGAGTGGTTGCACAGAGCATCTTTCCTGAGCTGTGGGTCCCCAGAAAGTCCATTCATGGGGTAAATCCTCTTCAGAGCAGCACCCCCCCACTCAAAAGACAGATTTTTCTGGAGCTATATTTGCAGTCCCAGGCGGGGAGAGGTCGTTTCTAGCAGGGTGCCAGCTCCGGGAGGATTTCCCTGCAAGGCTGTGCTCAGCCCAGTGAGCACTGCTGGCCGGGGCAGGCATTCCCAGGGGATGGACTGCTCGGATACGGACTCATGTCTCCCAGCATTGCATTCCTCTGTCGACACAAGCTATTTAAAAAAAGCAGAGCCCTGTCATTATCTGAAAGGATCTGGCCGTCCGAATGGATAAAAGAAATATCTGCGTTCCTAAGTGCATGGGGAGATTTTGTGAGTGAATGCTTCTGTGCTCGACGCCTTTTGTGTGACTGTCTCGTGCTACTTTCATCTATAATTTTAGTTATTAAAAAAAAATGAGCAGAAAAAAGGTTATTGAAGGTCACTTCAATAACAGTGGCACTGTCTGATGAGGTCCCATAAGCACACAGAGGGGCATCCACTGACTGTTCTACTCGCATCTAGGACTAGACCTGAATTTATCAGTCCAGGTCCTCTCAAGTTGCAGATTTGCTGTTGTAGGAGCTGCAGCATTTTACCTTTGAGCATACCAAAAAAAGTTGACGCTTCTGTTCCTCTCTGTTAAATACGTAGGGCATTTCAGTTTATTTAAATCCCCCCGGCCAAGCTCTTCACTGCTCAGACCCAAAGCCCGGTAGAGTGACGAGCAATCTCGGTACTGTCTTGGCAGCTCTTGAAAGTAGGCATTGGATAAAAAACTCTCTTGGAAACAAACGGGAGCCTCTAGGAAAAGGTCCGATGTGTCAATGAAACCCCAGTGAGGATCATCTTGACCTGGGTGGGAATTGCTCCCCTCATGGGATTGCAGTGGGAACTCGATGGCATGTGTTTCTCCACGTGGGCCTGTTGAGACACCAGGCAGATGGACAAGCTGACAGGAAACCTCTGTGCTCTGAAAAAAACCCTCTGACTGTAAGGTGAAATAAGCTCTGAAGGTGCTCCTGAGTTACCCAGCTCACATCCAGCCGGGTAAATACAGTGGGCTTTAGCTTTGATCCTCTTTCAAGATATTCAGTTTGGTTTCCCACCAGCTCTGTAAGGAACACACCACTGCCTTGGGCTAGCACCCAGAAGAGATGGCTGGGTCGGACCCCTTTGTGCCCAGCATGGCACTACCGATGCCCACGCCCCAGTGCCAGCGAGCAGCGGGAGCCTGCGGGACAACACTAGCGACCTCCGAGCGAGACATCTCACCCCAGCTGCTCTTGCCTGATGGTGGAGAGGTGGTCACCTCCAGCCAGCAAGGCATCTTGTCCAAAAACTGGTGTCTGAGACAGGCCAGATGAACCTGCTTCTCAGGGCGCCCGTTTCTCTCCTGGGGATGCACAGGGAGGCTGTGGTTGCTCCCTCCAGCAATGTGGCACAGAGACTTTTGAAGCTGGGACAGTGAAATGCCCCCCAAACTCTCCTGTATGCCAAACAACACCTGAGGGACCGCTAAAAATGAAAGGGCCAAACGTATTCCTCTGTGGTGGTTTACAGTACTATGACTACTTTGATGTTTCATAGTCTATTATTTCTGGCTGGGTCATTTCAACTGTAACATTTTGTTGACAGCCCCCAGATCTATCTTAACAATTGACAAGTGGAGTGAAAACTGTATTAAGGCTCGCGGTCAATGAATCCAAGCCTGCTAGGAAACACGGGCTAAGAGCAATGTCATTTCTCTCCCTTCCCTCCAAGGCTTAAATGTTTGTGCTTACTCCAAAACTGTAAGCTCTTTGCAAAAGGATTATTTTATTCCATATCTCCACAGCACCCAGGCAAGGGGATTCCTGGCTGACTGGTGCAAATGATAAACGACAGGCATCATATGCTGGTGTGATTATGCACGTTGACAGCCCTCACATAGATCAGGTCCTCAATCAGTGCCAACATACACAACCCCATCAAAGCCAAATTGCAGCAGGACCTCCTTTCTCAATCCTTCCATCCAGGGGAGTGCTGAGGGATGGTGGTGGGATCCAGCCCACCCTGAGGACCCATGGTTGGTGATCACATATGTGTGTCAGAGATTTGGCACCACGTAAAGCACTCAGTGAGCAGCTGAGGGCAGGGGAGCCCTGGTACCCTCCAGGGAAAGGTAGCACCAGTTTCTGCTGTCATAGACCCATAGCTAGACCAAGGGGGCCTCCAGTAAAGTTATCTCAGCACACTGTCGCTGCAAACACAGCCTGGACCTCTGACCATGACCAGAGCCCATCGCTTACGAGAGGTCCAGAGGTTGACAGAGAAGCACACACTTAGAAAGAAAACCGTGTGTCTTTCTTCCCACTGAAAAGCTCATTAACTGGGAAGGCTGATGAGCGATTCAGTGTATCTTAAAGGAGAAGACAGTAAGAGTGTTAGTGCAGACACCTCTATCGATCTGCTGCTGTTATCCCTGTGCACAACAGGCTGACACAGGCGGCTCTAAACAAGGAAAGACGATTTTGTAACCGTGCCCCTCTGTTTTGCCTGTTTGGCAGGGGTATGAATAGGGTGGGGGTGTTATTTCGGAGACTCTTTGTCCTTCTTGCCGCTTTCTGGTCTTTGTCCTCCCACAAGCTTTCCCTGGCATGGCAGCAGCACCTTACGACAACAGTGCTACGCTGGGATCAAAATGCGCTTGCCAAGCAGAGAAAAACCACATATTTACCACACTTCTACAGGTCACCTTCATTCTTTATCATATTATATGCATTAACTTGTAAACTGTCTTCCTTCGAGAATATGGTCACCCTGAAATCTCCCCTTGCAGAAGCACAGCCAGGCAATGGAGCTCCCCAGCCAAGTGTCTGCTCCCTCCAAGGCCGTGTTAATTAGAGAAGCACCGCTTACGCTGCTGGTTGCAGACCCCAGCATGCGGGGAAAGTTTTAAGTTGCTCTATGCATGGAAAAAAGGAGCAGGGTTTGCTGGTCCTGCAGAGATGAGGCTCAGGGAATTCCTTTGCATTTTCCCCCTGTTAATAGCAATTCTCCCCAGCACTGCTAATTGCACCCTAGGGAGAAGGTGAAGATGGGTGGCTGTGTCCTCGCTCCTTAGCTGGCATCGGTCCCTGCCACAAAAACCAGGCGTATGTGGCAGGGGACTGCAGTGCAATCACAGCCCAGCCAGGCGCCAATGCTTTGTAAGGTGCTGTGTTCGGCTGGGTAAAACAGATCTTCTTCATTCAAGGAGCTACTAGCTTTTTACACACAACTTTAACTCTTTGGAGAGTGTGACAAATGTTCTTGTAAAGAGTAAAAAAGTATGTTTACAATGTTCTTGTAAAAACAAGTTCTCCAGCTCTGCAGAACTTCAAGGAACTCACTGAATTACAAAAAGAAGTGTATTTAAAGGAGGGCATAAATAGTTCAATCTTACATTTAAAAAGGGTCATAACATGGTTTATGGGGCCAAACTGTCTTCTAACTATTTTTTATAGCAACACGCAAATCTGTTCTGTGTTAGGGAATGGATATGAATCTTGTTATAACAGTTTGGCTCTGCAAGCAGTGGCCAGCCAAATAGAATTGTAATCCACTTTATCCTGAGCAGGATTAAAGTGCTATGGTGCATTATACCCCCATGAGTTTTATTTATTTATTTGGTGCAAGGGAGGAGAGGGGCTCTGAAACCTGCTGCTAACAACCCCCAGACATCCTCTGCAACCATCTCAGCCCAGACAACCCCAAATCTCCCATGCAGGGCTGCAATTTGGGGAGCCCAAGTGATGTTTGGTCCAGCAGGATCATGACAGCCAAGGCGAGAGGGGCTGCAAAGCCTCCTGCTGCCTGCAAACCCGGGGTCCTGGCAAGGCACCTGGGTCCCATCCCAGCTGTGGGCCAGGGCTGTGTGAGCACTGGGCACCTCACACCTTCAAACCCTCTTGTAGGGATGTGGACAGCAGCAAGGAGCGCTGCTTTGACACCCCTTCTTCAGCCCTGCCTCTGTTTGAAGGGAT